TTCCTCCTGCCTTCCTTCCTTTCCTTCCTCCCTCCCTCCCTCCTCCTTTCTCCTTCTCTCCCTATTACTCTCCTCCTTCCTCCCTCCCTTCCTTCCCTTCCTCTTTTCTCCATATCTCCCTATTACCCTTCCTCCTTCCCTCCCTCCTCCCTCCCTTCCTCTAACCACACCTCCTCATGCACTTTTCTTTCTTTGTCTCTTCCACCTCTTCCTCCTCCGTTTCTCTTTCTCGCGTTCACCTTTGTTCTGCTTTTTCTTTCTCCTTCGCTCTTCTACCTCTTTCACTCTTTGGTCTCATATGATATCATTCTATCTGTCTATCTATCTGTCTGTCTGTCTGTCTGTCTCTCTCTCTCTCTCTCTCTCTCTCTCTCTCTCTCTCTCTCTCTCTCTCTCTCTCTCTCTCTCTCTCTCTCTCTCAGTCTATCTATGTTTCTCTCTCTCTCAATAAAAAAACAAAACAAAGGCTTGATGCTTACAAACCCTTCAAGACAAGAGCAACAGAAACAACACTACATAACGCAGATATATTACATTATATCTCCTTCATTTCTAACCAACATTCTTGTATAATCTTACATAATCCTACAAGAGTCAAACACATTACGAATGAGTAATCCATCCACACACCCTCGAAATATAATACGTCATAACATCATTTAATATAATCTGTAACTGAAACCAAGTCAAAATGAATAAATCCACGGAATTGAGAGGCTTTAGCGTAGATCGGTCTCAAACCTTCTTGTTACATGCTACGGAAATTCTTGCAAATGACTGCGTGTTGACTGGGTATCCAATAGGGGTTTAACTGACAGTGTTTGCTGCATTTTATGTATATTTTTTATTTTATTATTTATTTATTTATTTATTATTTATTTATTGTGAGGGGTATGTGTGAGGGGGTCCCTTTATTGTCTTTATAGAACCTGTTTACCATATATTTTTACTTATTTATCTGTTCGTGCTTGAGTATTTGTTTATCATATCCGTCCGTCGATTGATATAAAAAATCTATTCATTTGTCTAAACCGTATTTATTGCGACAAATGTGGAAAAACTATGAATGAGAATGTTTATTATATACTATACTCATCTCTTCATTCTCGCTTATTTGTACTTTCATTCGTCTAATTTTTGTTTGTTCATCTATCCGTCCGTCGACCGATATGATAAATTATTCATTTGTCTGAACCGTTTTCATTGCGACAAATGTAGAAAAGTTATGAATGAGAATGAATATCTTCACTATAAATCTACCCCTCTCTCTACATCTATATCTACACCTCTATCTCATTTCTACATTTCCGGTCAAAATACTCGTGACAACTTATGCAACAGATGACAACTCATTCGTAATTCTGGACAAAGCCTCGCCGTGTCCGTAGGTACTGCAATTCGAGGCTGCAACATACACTACCAATGGTCGTTGCAGAACACAGAACCCCCGTGTCGCATGCAACCGTTCTTGATAGCGGCTAAAACTCTTACGGGTAGAAACTGTATATATATACTCTTTAGAATGGTTTGTGTGAGTGTATGTTAGTGTGTGTGTGTTTTTTTTTTTTTTTTGGGGGGGGGGGTAAGAGAGAGAGCAGAGAAGAGAGAAGAGAAAGAGAAAGAGAGAGAGAGAGAGAGAGAGAGAGAGAGAGAGAGAGAGAGAGAGAGAGAGAGAGAGAGAGAGAGAGAGAGAGAGAGAGAGAGAGAGGAGAGAGAGAGAGAGAAAAAATTAAGAGAAAGAGAGAGAGAGAGAAATATATATATATATGCATATATATATATATATATATATATATATATATATATATATATATATATATATATATATATATATATATATATATAATATATATATATATATATATATATATATATATATATATATATAGAGAGAGAGAGAGAGAGAGAGAGAGAGAGAGAGAGGAGAGAGAGAGAGAGAGAGAGAGAGAGAGAGAGAGAGAGAGAGAGAGAGAAGAGAGAGAGAGAGAGAGAGAGAGAGAGAGAGAGAGAGAGAGAGAGAGAGAGAGAGAGAGAGAGAGAGAGAGAGAGAGAGAGAGAGAGAGAGAGAGAGAGAGAGAGAGAGAGAGAGAGAGAGAGAGAGAGAGAGAGAGAGAGAGAGAGAGAGAGAGAGAGAGAGAGAGAGAGAGAGAGAGAGAGAGAGAGAGAGAAGAGAGAGAGAGAGATAGATAGATAAATAGTTAGACAGAGAGATAGAGAGAGTAATTCTTGACATAGAATTTAGGAGCTAATTGTATGTTAATGACCTCTTTAACTTCTTAAGTATTAAAGTTGTAACTTAGACCCGGGTACGAAAAGCAAAGTAAGAAACCCAGATCCCAGCGTATACCTTGTCTTTAAGTAAAACAAAAGATCTAATATACAATATAAACCTTTAATTATCCTATCTTAAATAGACACAAATATTCACCATAAACCTGCAATCACATTGTCTTAAAGAAACACCAATATTCAACATAAACCTTTAATATCATCTAATCAATTTGTATCAAATAGAAATCTTCAAAATAATTATATAAAAACAGACAACTAAATCGACAAAATCTGTCTATCTACTGGACACGATTTCTCTAAATTCCTTTCATCTTTAATCCATTATTTCCCATTAGTCACACCGTCTCGACCATTTAGTTCCAGGACCTTGTGAATATGGAAATTAACAGTAGAGTTTGATGGCATTGGTCTTACAAGAGGAGAGTTAAGGTAGAGTTCCATGGACTCTACATATAACTTTTCCCTTTTAGTTGTCTAAGTTGGGTTTTCCTATCTTTCTCTGTCTCTCTCTCTCTTTCATTCCTCCTCTCTCTGCTTCTGTCTCTCTATTTCATTCTTCCTCTCCCTCTGTCTTTTACTGTTCTCTCTCTCCTTCATCTCTTCTCTCCTTCTTTCTCTGTTTCTGTCTCTCGCTTTCATTCTTCTTCTCCCTCTCTCTCTCAGTTTCTGTCTCTCGCTTTCATTCTTCCTCTCCCTCTCTCTCTGTTTCTGTTTCTCTTTTTCATTCTTCCTCTCCCTCTCTCTATGTTTCTGTCTCTCTCTTTCATTCTCCCTCTCCCTTTCTTTCTGTTTCTGTCTCTCTCTTTCATTTTTCCTTTCCCTCTCTCTGTTTCTGTCTCTCTTTTTCGTTCTTCCTCTTCCACTTCTGTCTGTTTCTGTCTCTCTTCATTCTTCCTCTCTCTCTCCTCTCCTCTCTCTCCTCTCTCTCTCTCTCTCTCTCTCTCTCTCCTCTCTCTCTCCTCTCTCTCTCTCTCTCTCTCTCTCTCTCTCTCCTCTCTCTCTCTCTCTCTCTCTTCTCTCCTCCTCTCCTCTCTCTCTCCTCTCTCTCCTCTCTGGCTCTCTCTCTCTCCCTCATCTCCTCCCTCCCTCCCTCCTCCTCCCTCCTCCCTCCTCCTCTCCTCCCCTCCCCCCGCCTTTTTATTCTTTAATTTCTTCCAAAGTGATCCCCATTAAATCTACTTCGAAATTTCACGCACGTGCGCCTAAGAATACCCAAGGTCCGATCAGAAATTGAGCTCGGTTGCCCCATACTTCAAGGCTCTTCATTAATAAACTTCATGAGATTCTGACGTCTTAAGATTTCTTGATGGTAGTTAATTCTTACGTAAAAGAAAATGAAGGGAAAAGGAGAAAAAAAAAGGGGAGAGGAAGAGGAGGCGGGGACAAGACGGAGAAAGAAGAAAGAAGAAAAAGAAGGAGATAAAAAGAATTAAAAACAAGTAGACAAAGGAAATGTAGTAAGAGAGAGAGAGAAGGAGAAATAAAAAGATGTAATCATTACATTCTATAATATTGCAGTATATGTATGCGTTCTATTCTCATATCTACATGCAACTTGCTTTACTTGCAAGCCCCGCATACCATTGATGGTAGTTAATTCTTGCGTAAAAGAAAATATTAAGGAGAAGAAAGGAGAGGAAAGGAGAGGAAGAGGAGGCGACGGAGAAAGAAGAAAAAGAAAAAAGAAAAAAGAAGAAGTAAAAAGAAATAAAAAAAACAAGTAATCAAAGGAAATGTAGTATGAGAAAGAGAAGAAGAAATAACAAAAAAATTGATTATTAAATTCTATAATACCGCTTTACTTTCAAGCCCCTCATGCCACTGCCTCGCCTTTAGATCAAATCCCTCAGACGTCATCCGTTGCTAAAAAAAAAATGAAAAAGAAATAAATAATTTGTTAAATTAAAATATAAAATAAAAATAACGAAAGAGAAAGAAGAAAAGAAGAAGAAAAAGAAAACAATAAGAAGAAAAAAAAAGAAAAAGAAGAATAAAAAGGGAAAAAAGAAGCAAAAAAAGAAAAATTAAATAAAAATAAAAAAAAAATAAAGGAAACAAAGGAAACAAAATAGATAAAGAATAAAAGAAGATCAAAAGAAGAAATACTTGAAAAAAAAAAAAAGATAAAAGAGAAGAGGAAGAGAGAGAGAGAGAGAGAGAGAGAGAGCAGAGAGAGAGAGAGAGCGCGAAAACGCACATCAGTCCCTATTTTCCTCTAACACTCCATAGTTTGTGTTATTAATAATCATTAAAAACCTACAAAGCTCTTGCCTTTATTAATAATTTCCCAATTAAACCTTAGATATACGAGAACCAATGTTTACTTTTAGAAAGGCTGCTACCTCTTGCCGCAAAACAATAACTTCCATGTTATAATTACAACATGAAACATAACCGTTAAATGTTAAAAAAAAAAAAAAAAAAAAAAAAAAAAAAGGATGTTCCCAGATGATCTCTCGTTCTCTCTCTCTCTCTCTCTCTCTCTCTCTCTCTCTCTCTCTCTCTCTCTTCTCTCTCTTCTCTCTCTCTCTCTCTCTCTCTCTCTCTCCTCTCTCTCTCTCTCTCTCTTTCCCCCTTTCCCTCTCTCTCTCTCTCATCTATCTATCTCTTCTCTTCCTCTCTTCCCTCTCTCTTTCCCTCTCTTTCCCTCTCTTTTCTCTCTCTCTCTTCTTCAGTTTCGTAGAACATCATCAGAAGGAACTGCGATTCCCCCTTGATAAAATAGGAATGATGTAGCTGTTTATATGGAAATAAATGAAAGAAGCGATGAAATAATAAATAAAAAAAAGAAAAATAAAGTAAATTCTGTTTGTTCAGACATAACGAATCGGTTATAGGTCGAACAGAAAGATTACGGTCTATGTTATTTTTATTTGTTTTCAATATCTCTTTTTTTGGTGTTTTCCTTTTTTATCGCTTTCGTGCTCGTAAAGGGAAACCCCGTTTAATTACCATAGCAGCTTAAAAACAAATATAGAGAGGGTATCTGTAGTTCTTTTTATATTTGTTTTGCAAACGAGAAAATGGTAAATAAAACAATTAATTTTTCTAAAATATTAAATGCAATTTTTAAAAAAATACGCGGGTGAATACACTGTTGTTTTGCATTTTCATGATGCATCAATTTCGTCGGCTTATATGCAACATAACATTCTTTTTGCGCAACGGAATATTTTCAAGAGAGCTTCGAAATTTTAGAGACAAGTCGATCATGGAAATGACCAGTGTGCAGACCTGAGGATTTTTTTTATATTAGTTTACCTTAATATTATTCATGTTTGATGTGCATTGAACGTAGAAAACGGATATTGCCTGCCCCTGCCCGCCACTGTTGAGTTTCTTTCCAATTCAAACCTTATGATGCTGGAGTTTAAAGGCGAATAATTCTACGAACACGCATTCACAACCAAAGACATACAATCATAAGTGGAGAGAAGGAAAGAGAAAAAGATAGACAAACATAAAGAAAGAAATAGAGAGACAGACTGAGAGAGAGAAAAAGAGAGAGAGGAGAGAGAGAGGAGCGAGAGAGAGAGAGAGAGAGAGAGAGAGAGAAGAGAAGAGAGAGAGAGAGTGAGAGGCGAGAGAGAGAGAAAGAGAGAGGAGAGAGAGAGATGACGCTGAAAGATTTACCGAAGAGAGAGAGATGAGAGAGAGAAGAGAGAGAGACAGAGAGAGTGAGAGAGATGAGAGAGAGAGAAAGAAAGAAGAGAAAAGCACGTAGAGTTGAGAGATCGCGTTTCTGAGAGTGATGAGAGAGAGAGAGAACAAGGTTCTTATACTCCTCCACAATTTAAAGGTCTCTCCAAATGCAGATCCAGAATACAGCTTTCTTTGATGTTACTTGAACTTGGCTCGTGAAAGAAGTGGCGCGCTGTATTTTGTATTCTAAGTCAAGTGGAAGTAAATGAATGAATGTAAATGAGTTAATTGATTGTTTTTGAAGTTCCTTTTTTTTTTCTTCTTCAAATATTTTCTTTTTGAACTCACCAAATAAAAAAGAAGAGAGAGAGATGAATATATGGATGGATTAACTGAAATAGAACAAGATAAACACACACACACGCGCGCGCGCGTGCATAAACACACTCACACCACACAGACACACACACACACACACACACACACACACACACACACACACACACACACCACACCACACCCCACAACACACACACACAACAAACACGCCACACAAACACACACACCCCACACAAACCAACACACATATATAGATACACACTTATGACAGGGGATAAAAGAAAGAGAAAGAGAGAGAGAGAGAGAGAGAGAGAGAGAGAGAGAGAGAGAGAGAGAGTAGAGAGAAGAGAGAGAGAGAGAGAGAGAGAGAGAGAGAGAGAGAGAGAGAGAGAGAGAGAGGAGAGACGGAAGAGAAGGAGAGGAAAAAAAAAAAAAAAACATATATATATATATATTATATATATATATATATATATATATATATACTATATTATACATATATTATTATATATATATATATATAATATATATATATATATAGTATTATATACTATACCACTAATAGAGAGTAATAAAATGGAAATAAGAAGACAAAAAAATTTAAGTGAAATAACATGCACCCACACTTTAAACAGCTTAATTAGGGCCTTACCTTTCCCGAGACACCCCCTCCCCCACCCCCCGTCCCCTTCGCCTTTCCGTTCCTCTGTACAAAACCATTTCTTTCATAATTAATGAATGAGAAAAGGAAAAAAATAGCTTCAAGAATTATTCATTAAATTCTTCTTGTTGTTGTTTTTTCTTAATGTTTTATTGCGTCTCCACTTTAAATTTCAGATCGCAATTCTTGGGGAAAAGCTGGGCGATATACATATATATAATATATATATATATATATATATATATATATATATATATATATATAATATATATATATATATATATATATATATATATATATATATATATATATATATATATTATATATATATCTATATATACTATATATATATATATATATATATATATATATATATATATATATATATATATATATATATATTATATATATATATATAGTATATATATTATATATATATCTATATATATATATATATAGCTATATATATTATATATATATATATATATATATATATATTATATATATATAATATATTATATATATATATATATATATATATATATATATATATATATATGATATAGTTATATATATATATATATATATATATATATATATATATATATATATATATATATATATATATATATAATATATATATATAGTTATATAGTATATACATTATATATATATATATATATAATATATATATATATATATATTATATATATATATATATTATATATTATATATATATATATATATATAATATATACATATTTCTTCTTTTGTTTTATATGCACATTTGAGTACCATA